TAATCTAAGCCACTTGCTCTCGAACTTTACTGTGCATATGAATCACCAGAGGACCATACTGAAATGCAGATTCTGACTGAAGAGGTCTGCAGTGGGGTCTAAAATTATGCATTTGTAACACATAAACATATTCCCAGTTGATGTTGATGCTATTCCGTGGACCACACTGGGAGTAGCTCTTTTTATTATAAGATTTAATAAAGCCTTAACGCTTTAAAATATATACCAATAACTGCTTATTAATACAACTATGTTTTCTTTCTTTTTTTTTTTTTTGGCAGCTGGCCAGTATAGGGATCCAAACCCATGACCCTGGTGTTATAAGACTATGCTCTCTCAACTGAACTAACCAGCCAGCCCTCTTAATATCTTTACTGCTTTAAACTTCCGAAGTATGAAACCTCAGTGTTAAGCTGAACACAACCTAGGTTCTGTATTTTACCTGAAAGAGTTGCTATGACCTCTAGAAAGTTAACTTAATTAAAGTATACAATAAGAGAAAGTACTTAATTAAAGTATACAATAAGAGAAAGAGAAGCTAGTACTACTTCTGAGTAGTACTAACTGGGGTAATATTTGAGTCATCTAAATTCTACATAATTTAGATTCAATGAGGAAATACATAACAAAAGGAATTAACATTCTACTTATATCCATCTACTTCTGTGTTTGTTCAGAGATACTTCAAAGCAAATCAGTACATTTGTTTCTATCTTGAGAATTTTAGTCTGGACCAGTCATATCAAAAAGTTCAGCTATCTAAAGAGTTCTTTAGTCCATTCCCATAATGATCGATAACCCAGACCTTCAGTGAAAGTAACATTCTCCCCTGTTTGAGGTAAATGATCTCTTGCAGGCACACCATTTGGATACCTAGAAGAGGTAATTTATCTCAAGTGGGCAAACACTATAATGAAAGCAAGAAGGTTGCCACCTGTCCAGTATTTGCAGAGGTAACATGGAAACTGGGGTCTTTGCCCACAGCCTATAAATACATCATCAAAGTTTAAGGAGACAGCAGGGGCAACCACCTTTAGCACTTTCTGTGTAGGGAATTCAAGCCACCATTACTGAAGTTCCAGTTTCATGAAAAGGGAAAAAGTAATGCTAGTTCCATTAAGATATCAGTGCACGAGAAAAAGAAAAAACCACGAACCTTTACAGGACATTTACATATACAAGGGTCTGAACTAAGCAGGTTACATTTATTCCTAATAACTCTATGAGCTAGGAGCTTTTATTAGCCAAGTTTCACAGATGAGGGTATTGAGACTGAAAAAGGATTAAGTAAGTTACCCAGTGTCACACGAATAGCAAGCAATGGAGCCCAGATTCAAATCTAGAGTCCAAGTTCGTAATCAATATTCTACTACATATCCAACATGTTTAAGAGTAAATTTTCTCTTCTAGATAGATAGATAGTATGCATATAATTAATTCAGAACTTACCCTCAATTGATTAGGACCTAATTTTTGAAATGAATTACTTACTGAATTTTTTTTTAAACCTTAGAACAAAGATAACAGGAGAAGCAATACAGTTACTATTTAATTTGTTAAAAGTTCCTACTTGGTATTGCCATACACAGTTTTCCTGGGGCTAAAAAGAAAAAAGTGACAGGGTTGCTATCAATATGTAGTCCTGCCATTTAAAATGGTTTATATTTTCAGCAAGTTTCTTCAAGCAAAAGGAAAAAAGAAAGGGAGGGAAGGAGGAAGGAAGGAAGGGAGAAAACAAAAAGAAAAGGATGAAAAGAAAAAACATAGTTCTACCTCATAAGAAATATCTTCTTTCACATCAGAATTTCCATATTATTTCCTAGACTTTCCTACGATATTGCCATTTCAAAATTCCACTTGGCCAAAAGAATAAAGATATTGCTCATAATCTTAGATGATTCAGAGGACAATAAATCAATTACAAATCAAAGCTGAACTGATATTCTTGCTACTTGTCCTATGATGAAAACATACTATTATGAACTGGATAAATAAATTATGGAATAAACAAATGATAAAATATTAGCCAGGTATTAAAATCATTCTCTAAAATATATTAACAGAAATGGGAAAAATCCTCAAAAACTGTGATTTTTAAAAAAAATAAAGCTATGATAGTATATCATAGGCAAAACACAGCATCACTTTTGTGATTTTCTTGCCAATGATTCAAAAGCTGAATCTAATCATTAGGAAACATCATACAAACCAAAACTAAGAGGCATTCCACAAATAACTGGCCTGTAACCTTCAGAATGCCAGGATCATGATGGTCAAGAAAAGACTGACGAACACCTCCATAGTGAAGGAAACTAAAGAAACATGACTAAAATGCAACACATAATTCTAAACTAGACCCTTTTTCTATAAAAGAACACAGGTGAGACAAGTAGGGAAAGTTATACGGTCTGAATGGCAGTAACATATCCGTGTTGACTTCCTGATGTTGATGGTCGCATTCTGGTTATGCAGGAGAAAGTGCTTGAAATACACACTAAAACATGAGGGAGGGATGAGGCGTCATGTTAGCGACTTGCTCTCAAATTGTACCCTATGATATCATTGATATCATTTGTTAGTCTGTTAGTAAACAGATGAGTGGATCTATGGGAGGGAGGGATAGAGGGAGGGAGAGAGGGAGGGAGGGAGAGAGGGAGAGAGGGACCAAGAAATGTCATTTAATTTCCCCATAAATAAAGACAAAATTAGCCATCAAAATTTACGCTAATTTACTACAATATTAAATATATATTTAACAGTTTCTCTGTGCCTGAACAAACAAATACATACATCTTCTTTCTAGATGGTTTATTAGAATTTGTACCATGAGAATCTTTGAACATTTGCTTTTAAATGCAGTTTGCAAGGACATAAAAGAGGGAATCATACCTGTTAGAGAGGGAGGGAGGGCGAAATACGTAGGAAGAATACATAAGAACATATACAACTGTTAACAGTAACTATTCCTGAGTGACAGGAAAATATTTTTTTGTTTTGTTATGTTTTTCTCTTCTGATTTATCTTTTTCGAGTTTTCTGAATACTTTTATAATGGGGGGGAACAGTAGATGTGGAGGTAATAAGTGATATTTGCTTTTTAAAATAATGAATCCTCTCTATTGCAGACACTGTTGATTAGCTGACCCAATCCATCCACAAACCACTTCTCTTTTGTCAACTTCCAGCTATCCAGTTAGGAATAACAATGTGATCCATGGAGTTCAGGTGAAGGAAACAGGAACAGAAGCCTGAGGGTGGGCTTTTGGGAAAGCTTCTGCCTTCCTGATATAAAGGGATCTATCTATTCAGCACCCATATGCCTTCACATTTTTAACAGCTTTCTTGAGATATAATTAGCACACCATACAATTCACCCATTTAAAGTGTACAAATCAATGGTTTTTAGTATATTCAGATTTGTGTAACCACCAACCAGAATCAATTTTAGAACATTTTGATCACCCCAAAAAGAAACTCCACAACAATTAGCAGTTACTTCCCATATTCTCTCAGCCTCCTCCCCAGCCTTAGGCAACCACGAATCTACACTCTGTCTCCAGACTTGCCTACTCTGGACATTTCAAATAAATGGAATCATAAAATACGTGACCTTTTGTGGTTGGCTTCTTTCACTTAGAATAATGATTTCAAGGTTCATCCATGTTGTAGCAAATATCAGTACTTTTATTCCTTTTTATGGCCTAATAATATTTCATCATTTGGATATCTACCCATTCATCAGTTTATGGGCATTTGGAGGGTTTTGGGGGGGGGAGGGTTATTGGTTTTTTGTTGTTTTTTTTTTACTTTTTGACTATTATACATAATGCTACAATGAATATTCATGCTCAAGTTTTTGTTTGGATTATGTTTTCATTTCTCTTGGATATATACTTAGGAGTGGAATTGCTGGCTCATATGATAACTCTATGTTTAATATTTTGAGGAACTGCCATGCTTTTTTCCAAAGCAGCTGTATCATGTTCATTCCTACCAACAATGTATGAATGCCTTCACATTTTGCCCTTCCCTTCTCCTTCCTGCAAAAACACAACTCCAATGTGAGAATGTAGAGTGGCCAGTTAAAAACTAGGAGGCACAAACATGAAGACGCCGAGGACGACAGAGCAGAAAGACACAGTCTGGATTTTTATCTACCACTAGACTTCCTATAATTCAGGAGGGAAAAAAATACTTATTTGATTAGGCTACTTTAAGCTGGGTCTTCTCGTAGCTACAAAGAAGGCAAACAATCTGAATCATGAAAAAATAAACTTGAATTTTAGACTTTTGTAAATTGCTCTTTATAGGTAGGTTCCATACCTAGTGGAAAGGAGCAGACTTTAAATTAATTCTATCTGGGCCAAGCCCGTGGCGCACTAGGGAGAATGCGGCGCTGGGAGCGCAGCAGTGCTCCCGCCGCAGGTTCGGATCCTATATAGGGATGACCAGTGCACTCACAGCGCTCACTGGCTGAGTGCGGTGCGGCCGGTCTCAAAAAGGACAAAAAAAATAAAAATAAAAATAAAAATAAATTAATTCTATCTAAGATAAATAAGAAAGAATAAAAACATATCACCAAACGAGAAAGAAAAATTTTCTATTGCCTCAGTTATTACTTAAACCTCTGAAATTTACAGCCAAAAGTAGAAATGAAGGAAAGCCAAAACATTTGAAAGAACATTGCCAGTATTACTTAATAAAAAGCTAATGATCAGCTTTCCATAAGAAAACCAGATCACAAAGGAAAAGAAAATAATAAGGTGGTTACACTCACCAAGAAATGTCATTTAATTTCCCCATAAATAAAGACAAAATTAGCCATCAAAATTTACGCTAATTTACTACAATATTAAATATATATTTAACAGTTTCTCTGTGCCTGAACAAACAAATACATACATCTTCTTTCTAGATGGTTTATTAGAATTTGTACCATGAGAATCTTTGAACATTTGCTTTTAAATGCAGTTTGCAAGGACATAAAAGAGGGAATCATACCTGTTTTACTAATGACTCCTTGTAACTCAGCCATAGAGCTGATTATAGCAGCAAGAAGGTCAGAACTGGTGAGCCAACTAAGCGCTTGTAAATAACGTAATTGCTCCTTTTGATGTTCTGCAAAAATAGGAAAAAATGCATTATGAAATGCTATAAAAATTTATTAAAATGCACATTTAAAATTCATACCAGTGTTCAGCTATTTAAGAAAGAGCTCAAACCTTGTATATGGAACATTTCTAGTGTAAAAAAATCCATTAAAAATTTTAGATCTGATTGACCTAATTTATAAATACCTGTTAACTGAAACCAAAAAAAAAGAGAAAGCAATTTTCTTTAGTTTTACTTATATTACTTAATAACCTGCTTTATTAAAAGTTAAAAATTGAATCCACTGTTTTCCTCAGAATAATAAAGCATTAAAAAAAAATGTTAGCTGGAAAATTTATTGCCTCATTTTCATATAATTCTTCAATAAATTTTTAATTCTCCTTTTATATTGATCCATAGAAGGTGAAAATAAATGCTGATAATTAATTTTAAATAGGGCAGTTTTTAGATTGACAATTGAAAAATCACTATATAAACTTCACTTTACTGCAAAAAAAGGATTCAAATATAATAAAGCTGCACAAAGTTGAAATTATATATATTTGCTACTTTATATTTTAATGTGTTTACAAAAAAAGGCCTAATTTATATAAAAATATACATTTATACATACATACATACATATTCATATATATATACATACGGGACAATGCTACATAATTTGACAAATTACATAAAGTTTTTGTGTAACAGGCAAGCATATTCACATTGTATTTCACTCACATGCAACTTAGATTTTTTAAAAGCACAAATTATCTTACTTGGATATTTATGCTTGTCTTTGGGCTCTCCTGTACACACTAACATGCCTATGCCTTCTTTGAAACTCTCCATCCAGGTAAAAAGAGAGGCACATGATTGGCCCAAAATCTTGAGTCTGTTCACTGCCAAAACTGCAATTACACCTTTCCGGAATATACGTATCAATCCTTTGAATAGTTTTTTCTTCATCTTGGCTTCCTCTTGTTTCTTTTCCTCTACAGTTGATAAAGCTTGGGTGAGAGTTCTAATTTCCAATTTGAACAACTCAAAGGTGTTGACCTGCTCCTGGAGAAAATCTCTCTGCGTAGATAAGGCCCATGATCGGCTGTACAGGGGATATAAGGCACCAGCCATCAATGCACAGGCTGCTAGCAAGGATGTTTGTTCCCTTTGAGATTGTGATAACACGTTTTTGAAGTGTGAATTTTCATGAATCAACTGTTCATGTGACTTCTCAATACAGTTCAATTTTTCCATATTTTTTTCAGCAATTTCTTGAAATTTCTATAAGAAGAGTCAAATAATATATATGATCATGAAACAAATAGGCATTTTATTAATTTCTTTTTTTGAAACAAGAAGTTTTAACTGTAGGAACCATATTTTAATCAATAGAAAATAAATTGTCTTTCTATGAAACCTTATCCCGAATCATTAAGGAATTGCTGAGGTAAAGAGTAAATTTTAGAAGATAACAAATCCCAATTTCCTTTACTATTCATTTATCATTCAATAAACGTTTATTAATTACTCACTAAATTCTATGTCTAGAAAAAGAGACAAGTAAATCAATTACTGTGGTATAATGCTGTGACAGAGATATGCAAGACTGCCAAAGAAGCACAAAAGGGCACTTAAACAAAATGATACTGACAGGCTCTTGAGGGATATGACAATTAAAGGACAAGTAGGAGTGAGATATGTAATAAAAAGAACAACAAAAAAAAGCCTCGTCCACTGATAAGGAGGCTAGCTGATAGCTATCCTACAATAATTTAATATAATCCTTATAAACAATAGTGATGTAACAGTTTCATATGGACCTTTATTTAGCCCTATGAGCTACCGTGACTTGGCCACGTACCTCTTTCTTTTTAAAAGCAGACCAAGGGAGTTCAACTTGAATAAGGGGGTCATTTGGAGACAGAAAAATACTATACTGTGTACCTGTATGATAAAGTGAAGTGCTGTCTTTACTATGAGAGAATCCTTTTGGGTACATTAATGAAAATACTTTTCTTTATATTATTGGGTTAGACTGTACTATGTGTAAAATTTAATGTTGAACTTTGGGAGAGGTTTATGATGAGTATGTGTCTGATTCAAGAGTTACCCACTAAACAACTAGAAGGATCAAAGGGCATCTCTAAAATTTACATTGATAGGAAGATCTCAAAGGAGATCAACTTGGAGCGAATCACACAAACTCTCAACTACTCTGCAAGATTTGGATGTCAAGGGCATGCATGGACAATGCTGATAAGCAGTAGCCAAAAGATATCAAACTTGTAGAAATGTACTACAGAGGAAAATAAATCCTGGGTCAAAACAATCCAGGAGATGAGTTTCCCAAATGGGGGATAGTTAGTAGAAGGAAGCACTCAGAGGCATAGACCTGAAGATAGAAATGTAAGAGAAGCAGATAAGAAGTCACTTTCTGAAGGATTCAACTTCTTGGATGCTTTCCCTTGGGCAGGGGGAAATTGTATTTTAGATATGGTTTTAAATATTTCCATACTATACTATAATTCCTTTTATTTAGTCCAACTCCTGTCTAAAGTCTGATCCAGCCACACCTGCGGTGGTACTGTGAGAAATGAAGGAACAGGGAAATTAAAGTAGTTGTGGCTTGCCCCCAAGCACATCGTCACTGATGACGAAGCTGTGGCAGCAGTATTCTATCAATGGGACTGTGTCCCAGAGCTCTACAGATATAAAGCAAGTAGTGTCCTAGAGGAAGGAGCTAAAAGGACAAGAAACTCTGAGAAGCAATTATTAAGTGGACTGTTTGAAAGCAGGTGTGAGGCAACCTTCTTAAGATAGGCAAGTTTTAAGAAAAAGAAAAACTGACACTTGGGTTGTAGCTAGATAAAGCAGAAAACAGGATAATGTGTTCTAAGGAAGTACAAATAATTCTGAATGCCTGCAAAAAAGAGGGGAATGATGGAAATTTGAGAAGTAGGTAAGATAACAGATGACTGAGAGCCTGACGTGCTAAGTTAAGGAGTTAACTTTGTCTGGAAAGGTATGAGAATCCATAAAATCATAGAACAATCACTATTCTTAGTAAATAGATGTGAGAATTAGAAACTTTAATAAAGACTGCCAGGTCTAGCAGTAAGAGTTGTAGGGGTGAGGGTAGAATGGGAGGAGCAAATGGAAACCACAAAGGTTAATTCCATATCCTCTCCAAAATCAATTACACGTGTTCAATTAAAGGAAAATTATAGAAAACCCAGGAAAATAAAAGAGGCAGACTAGCTATAGCTAGATAAGTGAAAATAAAGGTGAATCTCAGTGTCTCAGGCAGAAATGCACTTTCAACAAAAATTACTTTTTTTGAACAAAAAAACTGTAAAAGGATATATTTACTAATGATATTTTTAAATATTTCAAAATAATATTCAAAGCCTTTGGTCAAAATTAACTGCATTGTTGAAGTAGAGCTAAAAATAAAGCAGGACCACTGCAGAAAAGATATAGTTGACTTTAGCACATGACATATCTCCAAACTCCTCCACCATATACAGTTGGTCCACTTCCACAGACCATCAATCAGGTTAATGATAAAGACATTTTAGTGAGAAGCAGCCAGAAACAGAGACAAAGATAAGGTAATCAAAACAAGGCTAGAAATGGATAAATACCTAAACACATTACCAAAAAACCCCACTTCCTTTTCTACGGGGAAAAAAACAGGAACACACTGAAATTTTTGAAAAATCAAAACTGAGATTGTTAAAAGAATAAAAATCAGATTAAGAATACATGTCAAGTCTGTTTATAAATAATCTCTAGAAACGATTTAATTGTCTAACAACCATCTGCTATCCTAAATCATTCTTGGTTTAAGTAATTATAATCAAGATACCAAGAATCAAGTTATTAAAAACAATTAAACCAGGCCAATATTCAACTTAGGTGACAAGGTAACTTGGACTAGCAGAGTGGGATATATAAAGATTTTAAAATAGTAAAATTATATATTTAAAACTCTTACTGACAAATATTAGGTTAACCAAAAAAAAAAAAAAAAAAACTACACTAACATTAACACTCAATGACAGTTTTGTTCATTTCTTAACAATTAACATTTCTCCAGCCCTGGTGTCTCCAACGAAATCCAGAATCACAGATCTGACTGTCCACTAGGCATCACGACTTAGATATCTCATAGTCATCTCAAGCTAAAGTACCCAGTCCAGTACTGTTGATTTTCTCCCTAAACATGTTCATAAAGTCCTTCTTACATCACTAAATGGCACTGACATCCATCCAATTGTTCAAGTCAAAAACTTTGTAGTCAGTCTTAATTCCTTTCTTTCACCCTATTCTCTCCACTCCTAAATCAAAGCCATCAACAAATACAGTTGAGTTTACCCACAAAACATATCCTGATCCATTTCCACTGCTACCGTTCCATTTCTAGCTTCCATCACCACTAGCCATTCTTGCCTACTTCAATGCTACCTTCATGTCAGATTATACCACTCTCCTGCTTAAAACTCACTAATTTCCATTATGCTTATAATAAAATGTTAAAATATTTTATATTTTATATACATTTATGTATGTATGTGTGTGTATTCCCACGTTAAGAACATATTCCCCGGGCCGGCCCGGTGGCGCACTGCTACAGTGCGCCGCTTGGGGGCGCGGCGGCGCTCCCGCCGAGGGTTCAGATCCCACATACAGACCGGTTCCCACTCACTGGCTGAGCGAGGTGCGGGCGCAGCGCCGAGGGTTGCGATCCCGTTGCCGGTCCCGGTCCGGTACGGGCGCGACACTGAGGGTTGCGATCCGTTGCCGGACACGAAAAAAGACAAAAAAAAAAAAAAAAAAATAAGAACATATTCCTCAATTCCTATTTATTATTTTCATCAGGAATGTGGGTTGGACTTTGTTAAAGGCCTTTTTTGAGAGACAATCATATGACTTTCATTCTTTGTCTATTAAAATGTTGAAATATTATAATGGATTTCCTAATATTGGACCATCCTTGCATTTCTAGAAGCAATCCCATTTGATCGTGATTTTTGTTGTCTTAATGAGAAGTTGGATTCTATTAAATGAGATCCATCTTTAGTATTCTTTGTTCTATCTTTATCAGGTTAGGTATTAATATTAAAAAGCATATAATTCTTAAATGTAAAACTGCCTTTGCTGTATAACAATAAGTGTGTGTGTGTGTAGATACAGGTAGAAGAAGAAACAGAGATATTCTAAGTCAGCATCTTAATAATGGAGAAATACCCAAGGCATTCTTACGAAGTTCAGGAATAAGGCAAGGATGCCAACTATCTCCACTAGTACAAGCATTTAACATTGTATTGGAGTGTTATTAACCAATGCAATTAGGAAACAAAAGCAATTAGAGACATAAGAATGACGAAGAAGTAGTAAAACTATCTCTACTTGTAGAAAATATGATAGTAAATCTTGAAATACCAAGAGAACCAATGATATAAATAATTCAAACAGTAAAAAAATTCAGTGAGTAACATACAAAAACCAACAGGTTTTTGTTCATAGCAGCAGTAGTCACAATAGCCAAAAGGTAGAAAAAAAACACAAATGTCTATCGCAGGATAAATGGATAAATAAAAGTGATATATACATACAGTAAAATATTATCAGGCCATAAAAAAGAATGAAATACTGACCCATGCTACAACATGGATGAACCCTGAAAATATTATGCTAAGAGAAAGAAAACAAACATAAAAGGCCACACATGTATGATTCCATTTATATAAAATGTACAGAGAAGGAAAATTTATAGAGACAGAAAGCACATTTGTGGTTGCCAGGGGCGGGGCGGGGGGAAGGAGAGAGGGAGGGAGTAAGGAGTGACTACTTAATGGGTAATGAAAAAGTTCTGGAGGTAGATATTGGTGATGGTGGACAACACTGTGAATGCATTTGATGCCACTGAATAGTAAACTTTAATATGGTTAAAAAGGTAAATTTTATATTAAGTGTACTTTATAAGTAAAAAATCAATATCCTTCACATACACAAATAAACAACAAAAAAGAAGACAATGGAAAAGAAAACCCCACTTACAATTCCATAATAAAAAATAAAGAATACTTAGGAATATTATTTTATTGAAACATAATTGATTATACATATTTGTGGGGTACGGAATTGAATATCAGTATCCGTGTACAACATGGGATGATCAAATCAGGATAATTTAGCCTGAAATTTGCAAATGCTATATGAGGAAAAGTTTTAAACACAGTTGAAAGACACAAAATAATATTTCAAACTTTGATAGG